TTTTTTTTTGTGTGTGTGTGCTGTTTTTTGTTTCTCTATAAGAGTGACTTTATAAAATGAGTTGGAAAGTGGCATTCTTTTATTTTATATGATAGATTGTGAAGAATTTGTATTGCTTTTTCTTGACATTAGATAGAATTCTCTGGTGAGAGGGTATGGCATGGACTTTTTTTTTAAAATCAGAGTTTTAAATTTACAAATTCAATTTCCTTAATAGTTATAAAGCTATTCAAATTGTCTGCTTCATTTGAGTGTGTTCAAATAGTTTTTATTTTCTGAGGAATTGATTCACTACACTCTAATTATCAGATTTATGTGTGTAGAGTTTTTCATAGTACTTTTTTATTATATTTTTTATATCTCTGGGGACTGTAGTTATATCTCCTGTTTCATTCCTCATATTGGTAATTTGTGTTTTCTCACCTTTTTTTCTATCAGTCTTGCTAGAGGTTTGACAATTTTATTGACCTATCAAAGCACCAGCTCTTTTACATCATGTTCATCCACCTAGTAATCTCCATGGCAGCCACTTCTTTCTTTTTAAGTCATGATTCTCAATTCTAAACCACTTAGTTAACATTTTGTTTCAATTACAAAGACCCATTCCTATGGCCTTTCCTTTCCTCTTTCATGTCTTGACAGGCTCTAATTACTGTTTACCCTTTCCTTTGGCCTTGCTTTTGAAAGGTGACTACATCTTGCTGTTATTTTTTAAAAGTTTTATTTATTTTTAAATATATATTTTTGATTGATTTTAGAGAGGAAGGGAAAGGGAGCGAGAGATAGAAACATCAATGATGAGAGAGAATTATTGATTGGCTGCCTCCTGCATGCCCTACACTGCGGATGGATCCCACAATTCTGGCATGTGCCCTGACCAGAAATTGAACTGTGATCTCCTGGTTTATAGGTTGACACTCAATCACTGAGCCATGCCGGGCAGGCTAGAAATTTTTATTTTTATCAAGACTAATTTACATTTTATTTCCACAGAACAACTAAATTCTAAGTAGAAGCATTAGAGCTATGTTGTAGAAAATTTGCCCAATACAAAACCAAAATAATTTGGTAATGGTCAATTTTTAATACGTCTAAGAGAGCAAAACCATGTGTATTGGAAAGAACACCAGATTTGGCAATGCAATACTTGGGTTTGAGTACTGTCTCTGCTACTTATAATCTCAAGTAATAGGCAAGATGGTTCCATATTGCTCAGGTTCACCCAGTAAAGCATTGTGAAGCCACCAAGTGGGTCCAGGCAGATCTTGAAATTCCATAAACTTTCCCCAAACTGGCCATACCCCATTTGTCATCACTGGGAAATGATCGAATTGGCCTTCATCATTGCCTTTTTACTGTTTCCACTCTGCTCAGCCTGGCACAACCATGCAATTCTCCATCACAGGAACAGTTCTGCCTTGAGCATTGTCATTACTATACCTGCGCTTCTGGAATCTTTCCTGACTACAAAACTCCTTACTGTCTTCTATGCTTGTTTGAATTTTAGCCACTTTCCAGAGAAAGATAACGTATCCTCTGCCCAGCAAGATATTCTCTGACCATTCCAGGTCAAACTGATGGTCCTTATGAATTCCAGTAGGAACCATTACCCATCAATTTAAACCTTCAATAAGTTTATTTCAGGACCTTATATTGGTTAAAAGCATAGCCCCTTATCAAGACACACTTGAACTTTTAGTCTTAGTTTTGCCATTTTTCAGATTCATACCATTAGGCAGCTGGCACTACCTTTCTGAACCTTAGTGACCTCTGCAAAATGAGATCATTTCTGCCTGACAGAGTTGTTGTAGAAGTAAAAAAAAAAATGTTTTAAAAGCTGTTATGAGTCAGAGAAGAGGATCCAAGATGGCTGCTCAGGTAAACACCTAACCACAGCAGCACACAACAATTTCAATAAAATACAAAATGGACATTACCCAGAACTACAAGAAAGTCGACTGACTGGAAATTCTACAACTAGAAAGAAAGAGAAAACCAGAAGGAAAATCAGAGGAGCTGTAAAACCTAAGGTATGGAGACATATTGCGCACGTGGAGAGGACGGAGCCGGAGAGGAGGGGGAGGCAGAGTGCCTGGCAGGTGTTCCCTAGCGGGAAGGAGATAAAAGCACTGGACTGTGCTGAACCCCCGACCCGACAGCACTGATCCCCAGTTCTAGGCCAGACCCTGGGGACCCAGGCTCATACAGAGGGAGCCTGGGCTGTAAGGTGGAAACTCAGGGGAGTGGCGAAAGGAGGTCCCAGAGGCGCACACATTACGCACAGAGAACAGACGGTTGACTGTGCCACTGGATTGCCCTGGCGGGAAGGAGACAAAAGCTCCAGACTGCTCTGAACCCCACTTCCAACCCAACTTCCAACTGAACTGAACCCCAGTTCCGGGCTCATTGGGGGAGAGCCTAGACTGTTTGGTAGCAGGCGAAACTCGAGGGCACCTTTCTCTCAGAGGTGCTTGCAGCGAGTACCAAAGGACCCTGAGGAACACTGAGTCTCAGGAGCCACATAAGGTGTGGCTGACAGAAGCCAAGGCTGTAGGCTCCACCCAGAAACTCCACCCCATCCAAGCTGAACACAGAGACTTTTAAGGCTACCAACTCAGGGAAGCTGCGAAAATGCCAAGACAAGGAAACAGATCACAAACTAAAGAAATGGAAGACAGAAAACGACTGGATATAGAGTTCAAAACCACACTTATAAGGTTTTTCAAGAATTTCCTAGAAAAGTCCGATAAGACCTATGAAGATATGAAAAGGGATCAACTAGAAATAATAAGGGATCAACAAGAAATAATAAGGGATCAACAAGAAATAATAAGGGATCAACAAGAAATAAAGAATACATTGACTGAAATAAAAAATATTATACAGAGTCCTAAAAACAGAATGGAAGATCGCAAGAATCAAGTCAAAGATTTGGAACACAAAGAGCCAGAAGACACTCCTCCACAGAAGCAAGAAGACAAGAGAATCCAGAAAGTTGAAGATAGTATAAGAAACCTCTGGAACAACTTCAAGCAAACCAACATCAGAATTATGGGGGTCCCAGAAGATGAGAGAGAGCAAGATATCGCAAACATATTGAAAGAAATAGTGACAGAAAACTTCACCCACCTGGTGAAAGAATTAGACTTACAAGTTCAGGAAGCGCACAGAACTCCAAACAAAAGGAATCCAAAGAAGACCACACCAAGACAAATCATAATTAAAATTCCAAGAGCAAAAGACAAAAGAGAGAATATTAAAAGCAGCAAGAGCAAAGCAGGTAGTTACCTATAAAGGAGCACCCATACGATTGTCAGCTGATTTCTCAACAGAAACCATGCAGGCCAGACGGGAATGGCAAGAAATATTCAAAGTGATGAATAGCAAGAACCTACAGCCAAAAATAATCTACAGCAAAGCTATCACTCAGAATCGAAGGCCAGATAAAGAGCTCACTAATAATAAAAAAAAAAAGGCTAAAGGAGTTCATCACCACCAAACCAGAATTATATGAATTGCTAAAGGGAGTTCTTTCAGAAGAGAAAGTAAATAAAGATAAAAATTATGAACAACAAGTATGTAACTATCAACAAGTGAATCTAAAAACCAAGGGAATTAAAAAAAATCTGATGAACAATATTAACTGTTGAATATAATAGAATCAGAGTTATGGAAGGGGAGTGAACTGATGATTCTTGGGGAAAAGGGGAGAGTGGGGTGTGGGAAGAGACTGAACATAAACTGTGCACCTATGAATGAGGACAATGGGGGGTGGGGAAAGGGCAAAGGGTGGGAACTTGGTGGAGGGGAGCAATGGAGGGGGGAGGGGAAATGAGGAACATTTGGAATAATATGAACAATAAAGATTTATTAAAAAAAATAAAAGCTGTTATGAGTCAAATAAACATAAGGGATATTTTAAATATAATAATAATTGGAAATAAAGGTTAAAGGGGAAATAATTCATGAAATAATGTTGTAGTAGTAGAATTATAAAATGTATATTTATAGGAAAACTGTAGGAAAAGTAAGAAAGATCCATTTGTATGTGTGTACATTTGAGAAGACACTTCAAATTCTTACTGTGGGTGATGGGCCAAACGTTGTTTTTCTTTTTAAAAATTTTTCTATGTTTTGCATTTTTAGGGTGGATATGTAATAGATTTAAAACTAGAAAATATAATTTTTAAAAAAGAAAAATTAAGATTTGTTGTTATATTATTTTGTTATTTATAATTCCTTATACTTCAGAAAGAGGTTAAAACTGCATACAATGTAGCAAGATAAAAGTATTAGAATATGAAACAAAACGAAGCAAAGGAGAAAATGAGGGTAGGAAAGATAGTATGTAGTGACTGTTAAACATTTATCACCCATGTCTTGTATTTTTATTAACTACTTTTCTTTTCTAAAGAAAAAAGTTACTAGGATGTCTCTTATGAGTTTAATAGGTAAAATTAACTTTGTAAAAAAAAAAGGCAGCATTTTACAGCATAATGTATTAATATTAAAATGATACATAAAAGAAAAGAGTTTTCTGCTTGTTTTTAGTGTATTATATATATATTCTAATTATTTTGTTTTGGGCACAGTAGATAGCCCTAAAAATTATGGTACTTAGTATTTATGTTATACTTAAATTGTAAGTTGCAAGTTACAAATATGCATTTGGTTAGCATTGGCCTTGCTTATTTATCTGTTTTTGATAAGTTGAATGGAACAAACTGAAGCTGGGAGTGAAGTTCTAGCCCCCATCCTGGCATTAAGTAGCTAGACCTTAACTCCTTGGGTTATTCTCCTTCTTAGAAATTGATGGACCTGAACAAGAAGATTTAACTTTGACCATATGTAGTTTGGTAAAATTATGGTTTCTTGTTTAGGAATATTCATTTCCATTGATCTTTCCACTTGATAATATTCATGGTATTTTAGTTGGCCCATGTTATAAAATTTTCATCTTATACTTGTATAATATTAATATAATTAATTTTTTTTCACAGAAAGACCTCTCTCCCCCAAGGCTATCAAAGGATTTGAAACTACACCACTTACCAAGAATTATTATTCCGTGGTGAGTGATCAGATGATGAACAAAATTTTCTTGACTATATGGAAACTTTTCAGTTGTTGAATCATTGATGTTTTGAGCTGAAACAAATGGAAGACAAGATAAAGTTGCTAACAAGGGTATAATATCAGCTACATTACAATAGAGCTCTTGTACTTATAGGCCTTTTATATATGCCTGGAAGTTTTACATCCACTGTCTTGAAAAAATTATTTGTAGCCTATTAAACTATAGTGAAAGAGAAAGTACAGACATAATGGGGAAATTCAGCAGTTAGGTAGCCAATTTTGTCACTAAATAGCCTTACCAGATATTTAGAAGGTGAATTATCAAGTTCCTCTCCTATAGTAAGTTTTCAGTGATTACATACTGTGGTTTCATTTTAAAATCAATCAATCAATTAATTATGATATTCTTCTGAAATATTATCAACTTTGTTCTTGAGGAGAACCCAAAAGGAAGGTTGTCCTTTGGCACAGAGGGAGGAATTAAATGGTTCTGGCTTGAACACAAATATGTCAAAATATATTAGGTATAGATAGGGCATGTGCAATGCTCAAAATAAGTTCCTGTTTGAGAAAGAAATAATATCCTTTCCTTAATATTCTCTCTGCTTTCCTTCATGTCTCCTTTCCTGATTTGGCTCAGTCCCTGACTGGTAGCCACATCATTCCCCCACACTCCTGCCCTGCTGAAATACAGTTTCACTTTTCTATATGTTCTATGTGTGTTTTTACTGCATATTCCTTTCATTTTGTGCATGGATGAACAGTTTTAAAACATCTCTATACATTTGGTTTAAAAAAAAATAAATTTCACTCTTCAGTGAATTTGCTCCATAATGATATCAGCAGTAGCTGGTATGAAATATCAAGACAGAACTTCATAACATCGAGGACAATTTTGTCACTATTTTTTCTCTTATATTTCTGAGGTTAAAATGTATTACCCAACAGAGCTAGGCTCCCTTATTTCTTCCACTATGACTACTTCTTTTAGCTTCTAGGTGATTCTCAATGATTTAATTTTTAAAGAAAGGCACATTCAAATGGTGGATAAACATGTTACCATAGCTTATTTTCCCTGTTATTTGGAGGATATCATCCATAGTTTTGCTTTATCTCTCTCTGCCTCTGTTGATTCTACCAATTTATTATATTGTTGGATTTATCCAAGGCAGACTAACCTCTGTGATTCTTTCTTTATTTTTTAATATATTTTATTGATTTTTTACAAAGAGGAGGAGAGAAGGATAGAGAGCTAGAAACGTCGATGAGAGAGAAACATCGACCAGCTGCCTCTTGTACACCCCCTACCGGGAATGTGCCGCAACCAATGTACATGCCCTTGACTGGAATCGAACCTGGGACCCTTCAGTCCACAGACCGACGCTTCACCACTGAGTCAAACCGGTTTTGGCTCTTTCTTTTTTTATTTATTTAATAAATCTTTATTGTTCAGATTATTACAATTGTTCAGTGCATTTGTGAGCTTCCATCTCCCTCCTACTTTAGAAAGTGAGCTGCACACTCATCCTCTCCCGGTGCCCGTCTCCATACCTCAGCCTTTTGCAGCTCCTCTGAGTCTCAATGTGCTTTCCTCTTTTCTTCTAGTTGTAGAATTTCCACTCAGCTAGATTTCCTATGGTTCTGTATGGTGTCCGTTTTGTCTTTTAGTTGTAATTTTTATATTGTTGTGTGAGGCAGCAGTTTTGGTATTTACCTATGCCACCATCTTGGTTTCTCTTACACCTCTGTGATTCTTATGGGCCTTATGTAAATCTTGTATATACAAACTCTATTTTTATCATCTACCTCCTACTGGAGTCCATGTATGTTGTTTCTAGTTACTTGCTATTATAAACAATTAAACAGTAAATATCTTCTATGTGTAACTTGGCAAAATATATAAAGATTTGTAGGTTAAATTCACAGAAGTTAAATTGTTAGATCAAAAAATATATATAGGGTGGGCAAAAGTAGGTTTACAGTTCATATGGAAAATACAGTAATTTATACGAGAATAAACTGTTTCACATACAACTTAAACCTAATTTTTACCACTCCTGTATTTTTTTTTTAACTTTGATAGATTTTGTCTCAAAACCAAAGCATAATAAAGAAAATAGAATGCCTTGGGGGGCTCATGATGGCCTGTGAAAGAACTATAGGTCTTTCTTATAACTATTCCTGAATTGTGGAGATCAGTTAAATATAATGTGGCAACTAGATAGGTATATGAAAGGATTTTGGTTGGTTATTGTTTTTTATCCACATTTCTTTTGGTTTGAGTATTTAAGCAAAATTTTAGAGGCAATTAATTCAAAATATATTCTGAGTGTTCTGATTGGCTTAGACAAATAAAAAAATTCTAGCCCTCCCATAATATTTGGAGACCTGGAAAATCAAGTTTACCTGCATGCAAATTGTCCCTATATGATGTTATATGAACTTTTCTTCCTTCTAAGAGTCATTAATTGTAAATATTTTCTCTTTGGTAGTTCTATAAGAACACCAGTGAAGGATTTTTTCATCTATTTTTAAAAAACAGACAGGACAGTTTTTTTTTTTTCTGATTCCATAACATCATATAACTAAACACACACGCACACACAAAATAAATAAATAAATAAATAAATAAACAAACAAACAAACAAACAAATAAGTAAATAAAAATAAAGAAGAAAATAAATATCACTTGTAATTCCACAACTCATAGTCACTACTAGTATTAACATATTGGTGAATCTCATGCCAAATTTTCTTTGAAGTAGGGTATGTGCGTACTCATGTGCATATATCTAGCCTGGGATATATGTATGTATATAGATATATACATATTTATAAATAAAAATGGGAACTGAAGCTACACTGGCCAAGTGGAACCATGCATTTTTTAAATTATTATTTCTCCTTTATGGAGATTCTTAAAAATTGGCTTTTGAGCTCTGACCAGTTTGGCTCAGTGGATAGAGTGTTGGCCCAGGGACTGAAGGGTCCCAAGTTCAGTTCCGGTCAAGGGCACATGCCTGGGTTGCAGGCTCGATCCCTAGTAAGGGTTATGCAGGAGGCAGCCAATCAATGATTCTCTCTCATCATTGATGTTTCTATCTCTCTCTCCATCTCCCTTCATCTCTGAAATCAACAAATATATTTAAAAAATAAAAATTGACTTTTGAGAGAAAGAGGGAGGGAGAAAGAGAGAGAGAGAGCGAGAGAGAGAGAGCGCACAATTTGTTGTTTTACTTATTTATGCATTCATGTTGGTTGCTTCTTGTATGTACACTGACTAGAGATTAAATCTGCAACCTAGACATATTGGGACAATGCTCTAACCAACTAAGCAACTGGTTCAGGCCTCTGGAGATTTTTCTATCGTCACACCCTGATAATACTTCTCTGACCAAACATTTTCTTAGACTCTTTCATTCAGTGAGTCCTTGAAGGTCCACATGTTTTCTTTACTTTGGTCCTGTGTATTATTAGTCAGGGTTCTCCAGAAAACATAACCAATGATTTACTATAAGGAATTGGCTTACACAACTATGGTGACTGAGAAGTCCCACAATCTGTCATCTGCAAGCTGGAGACCCTGGAAAGATGTTCAAAGGCCTGAAAAGCATCAGAACCAATAGTTCCTTTCTGAGAACAGAAGAGTAATGTCCCAACTGAAGCAGTCAGACAGAGAGTGTATTCTGCCTTCGCCTACCTTTTTGTTCTATTCAGGCTCTCAACAGATTAGATGATGCACACCCACACAAGCAAGACAATTTGCTTTTTTTAGTCTACTGATTCATCTCATCTGGAAAGACCCTCACAGACACACCCAGAAATAATGATTGATCTGGACACCTTGTGAACCAGTCAAGTTGATACTTAAGATTAACCATCACATCCAATAAACTTGGACAGGATAGAGAACTCTTAGAATTTGCAAGTGTTCAGACATTCTTCGCCTCTTTTCAAGTTTCCAAGAAATTATCCATATATTTCAAGCTCATTCAGGCCTTGGAGTGATTCTGGTGGCACATCAATTTTAAATGTTAAATTCTTCAGTGTGACCAAATGGCTTTAGGCACCCAGTTCATACTAGCATCTGCAATGAGGCATCTTTAATGTGTTTGACTGAGGCTTCGTCACTCCTGGCTCGTTATTTTGAATGAGAGTTTAGCATCCTTTAGGGACATGGCAGGCCAGTGGAGGCTTTTGCTGTCACTGACCTTGATTCTTTCATTGTCCTTAAAATTCAATGTAATTTGTTAAACTTCTCTCACCATTGGAAAAAAAAAGCATTGTTTTTTTTAGTAATTATTTTCCTAATTATGTTCTCCTCACTGTCCTTTTTTTGCCCATTTTAACTTGATGTTATACGCCAGGAGGGATTAAAAAATAAAGAACAACAACAAAAGAAAATGGTAACTATGTGAGGTGGATGGGTGTGTTAATTAGCTTAATTGTAATCATTTTACAATGCATACATATATTAAAGCATCAATTATATATATTAAATATATACATTTTCTTAGTCAATTATATCTCAACAAAACTGAAAAAGTAAAGTACAGAAAAAGGAATCTGTATTAGTTGTCAGGCTTAGTTTGCATGCAGCACTTAGCTCTTGGCACCCATAATCTTATTGGAAAGACAAACACCACATGACCCCACTCATTTGTGGATAATAAAGATCATTATAAACTGATGAACCAAAAGATAGATATAGAGACAGTAAAGCAACAAGCAGATTGTCAAATTACAACGGGGAGGGGAGGAGGGTCTGGGGGAGACAATAAATCAACCCAAGGACTTGTATACCTGCATATAAGTACAACCAATGGACATAAAACTCTGGGGAGGGAGGGGATACATGGGAGGGAAGGAGGGGGGCAAAAAAAAATCAATAAAATATGTAAAATAAATTAATTAATTAATTAAAAAAAAAAAAACAAAAAAAAAAAAAAAAAAGAAAGACAGTACAAACATGATAGCGCAAGCCACGTGGCAGAG